GGCTGAAGGCTTGGCAAAGCATTTTAAGCTAACATATTAAGAGTCTGGTGATGTTGATGGGTTGCAGCCTTGAAGAAGTTACAGCAAGTAAGTGTTATGAGAGTAATTACTCATTTAATTCTAAAAGAAAAGAAATTGTATACTTTTGGCGCTTATTAATTTTTGGATCTTTAATAAAAAAGTTATTAGTAGACAGCAAGACTTACAAATTTCACTTCACTGTCTCAATCATTACTATTTTCACTGTAAGTATAGCACATAAATTCTACTTTCCTGTAATGAATGCATTGAAAAGTAATAGCTACCCATTCACTATACCAAATGCAAAATGTATAAGAAATATCCTGTGATGTGGAGGTCTCTCTAAGTGCATAAATATATAAATATGTACACAGATTTATAAAGAATGGTTTCAAATGGACAGGTTAAAGTCTTCCAAAAACATGGGTTTTACATACAAAATGTCAGGGTTTCAAACAACCCAATAATTTTCACTCAAAAAGTCTGTGTTTTAGTAGCAATATAATGCATAGATGAATGTTTTAACTTTTACAAAGTTAGTAAACAGTGGTGTGAATTTCAACCATTTGAGAAGTTTGGATATTTAGTTATTGATGGTACGTCAATATTATTGCTTGTAAGAGGTAGCATAGGAAATTCTTTGCTAATCAGTTTCAGGGACTTACAGTATAAACCACTCCAGCTCATACCCATGTCAACCTCGTTAATATCATTGGTTTCATTACTGTTTTGTCTAGCTGTTAAAAAAATAATGATGGTGATCAATGAAAACTCAATATCCCACTTTATGTTGAAATCCAGGTCTAATTAAATAATTAATGTTAGCATTAATAATTAAATAATTAACGTGTTACCACCATCCAAAATACACTGTACCTGTATTTTTGTCCTCCAGAGCAAAGAACATTTCTAAAGCTGCCTATTAAACGATCAATCCATTACAGTATGTTAATCATCTCAATTAGTCATTTAATTACTACTATTTAATTATTATACGATTAGCTTACATGTGGATAAGTATGTAAATTAACAGTAATAACAGTATATGTCTATTGAAACAATCACACGGTTCTTTTACTTTGTGCTCCTTGCATTCTATTCCCGGAGTCAGCAATTTCAATTCATGTCCATCATTAAATAGAATCATTAAATAGTTCAATAAATTTCAATATTGTTCAATAGTATCAAAGACATCAAACAGCAATAAATTAAAATTATCATGAGGAACATAAACAGTGTCTCAGAAGAAATGACAAATAATGAAAATCAGAAACAAGTAATTAACGTATTAATTAAGCTGCAGTAATCTAAATAAGAACAGTATAAAGCAAGAAAATAAGAAAAAGCAGTTTGTAAGGTACACATAAATGCCATTTGAATTTAAGACACATCTTATGGATTGATGTTGCTGTGTTAAAACCTGCCCATATGAATAAATTCTTAAATATTCAGCTTCCATGGAACTGGAAACAACAGATACACATTGCTAAGCCTTTACGTTATACTGAAAAGTAAGTTATCTGCTTAATTCCAAAACCCATCCAATCAAATTGGATTGGAAACTATTGCTGTT